TTAAAAAAATTAACAAAAAAAAAAAAGCGTATTAGAAATATAATAAAAAGAAAAACAAGAAACTGAAGCTATCCTCGACTACGGCAACCTCCGGTGGGGGAACTTGATCGATACTTTGGTTCCACCAACCGATTTCTCAAACCAACCTTGACATGCTAATTGCTCTTCCTCAACAAAACAAGTTGGTACATTACTGAAAAACAATTGTGTATCACAAAATTATATATTTAGGCGATATATTCGTACAGTCTAATATAAGATCCGCATCCATCTTTAGCATTAAGAACGCCGTAAAAGTTCGTTCAAGCTTTTTAACGTAAAAACGTTACTCACCAATCTCTACGAAGTAGTATTCGGCTTTTCTTACTTCATCAACAGCCCAGCCATCAGTTTCTGTCCCCACAAAGTGAAATCCATAAATCCATGAAGAAGCGTATTTACACGGCTTAGTTATACGTTTTGTTATGAGAATCGCCGTCCTAGTCTAATTAGATAAGGACATATGTCCTATATAGAGTATAATTTTAACCTCAAATTTCATGTTTTCATGACAAAAGAGTTACATTACCTTATGTTGTCACCACTGGCTCCGGTCTTCGAATCTCTAAGCAGCTGCAATGTCTCTATCTCCTCGTCCTTCTTCGCTATCATGTCTTTTAGAGATGCAACCTACACGCACCAAATTGTATTATAAATTTAATTTACACTACCAACTTGGGATGTTTTTGGGAAGTTACTCGTCAGAGTTTTGGTTGAGGGTAAGTCGGAAGTTTGACTCGTCAGAACCTCTAATTTTGTCGTGATAATAGCTGTTTGAAATGGTTTTTTTCTTAATGGAACAAGCTAATTTTCAAAAGATAAAATAAAAAAAAAATAAAAAAAGAAGTTTTTTTCGAAAGAACCTATTGAATATAGTTATTTTATATGTCAAGTATTCCCTATTATATATTTACCAAACACGTCAGCATAATCAGCTAGTCAAACTCGCTAATTTTATATGTCCAGTATTAACTATCAGGTAGTTCAACCAGCAATTAAGCATGTGTATATATTTGTTTTATATCAATAAGAGTTAGGAACTTTGGGCTATGTTTGGTAAAACTAAATGATAAGCTAGTTTATAGTTTATTAGTAATTTTTGAGTTTATAGCTTATAGCTTATGACTTATAGCTGAAAAACTAGCTTATATGATAAAAGTGTTTGGTAAAATTAGCTGATAAACTAGCTGAAATAAAAATTCAACGAGCATATTTGAAAAGCTACCCATAGAAGCTTATCAAATAAGCTTGAGCTCTTTAAAAAAGTTCGTCCTACCAAACGAGGCTTATATGAATGCAAAGAGGTTATAAACTAACCAAATAAACTATAAGCTAGCTTATTTGTCCACCAAACATAGCCTTAAACTTCTCTCATATCATCGTCTAATCAATTTGTCGATGCATAGTTTAAGAGATGTATCGTGTTAAAGTCATAAACGAACCTTTTTCCTTGCTAAAAATAGAGTAGTAACGGCTAAATACTCGAATTCAAGTACCTGCTCCATTAATTCGCGTACATCCCTGCCGTCTTTGCTGCTTTTTGCTGCACCTAGTTCGACTCCAGATACCCTTTCAGCAAACTTCAAGGTGCTTATGCTTTCGGTATAGGAAGTTGTATCAGGATTTAGTTGCACAAACATAAGTGTTTTTGCTTGACCACCTAATGAGGCCTGGAGTAGTTGAGTGAGCTTGCTGTTTCTATAGGGAACATGAGGGCTCTTTTGTGCCAAAGCAAAGATGACATCACCCAGTGCTGACAAGGATTTATTTATGTGCTGTGCCTCTTTAAGCCTCTCTCCCGTCACCTCTGACCGGTCAACCCTTTCGCTTCCAGCAAGATCCACTAAGTGAAGGCTACCTTTCAGAGATGACCCGCTCTTCTCATCCACTCCATTGGCATGAATCGAGACAACGCTGTGTGATCGGCTGCTTCTCTCGTTCATGGCAGTCGAGCCTTTAGCTCTGTTCTTTAGTCCCACACTCATTAGTTTCAACACTTCTGAGGTCGACTTGACGCTTTGAATGCTGGCATCTGGGACTGCCAATCCACTCGATTGCATGGAAATCCCGAGCGTGTATGCAAATCAAGGAAAATAAATAAAATGTTTCGGTACGAAAAAATATTACGACAAGCTATTCATTCTTCTTTTGCTACTAACAAAAATGAAAGGATATCTCTTTTGTGAAGCGTCGTTTGACAGCAAATCACGGACTTGTTCGTTGTATATTTCCACCATCTGGACCGAAACTTCGTACGAGAAGTTGCTCTCCCTACTTTGAGAAATGCGGAAAAGCTTGTTTAGAGCTCGATAATTCACCCCCCATTCCTTTTCGCTTGCTGATTCAGGGCCACTCTGGTGATAAACGAGTCAAAAAAGTTTTATTTCATCAAAAAAAAAAAAAAAAGGAGAAGCGTATATATTTGAAATAATTATCATATTCATACCATGGTATAAGTTTTCCCTGAACCCGTTTGCCCGTACGCAAATATACATACGTTATATCCATCTAAAACAGATTGTATTAGCGGCTCGATATCTGAAAACACTTCTTCTGCAGGTATTTGAATGTCATCATGTTAACAACGAAGCATCATACGAGCAAAATCATATGTAAGAAAAAAGTACACAGGGAAATTAGTGATGAAGATCAGAAAACCTTGTGTTGAAGTGGGGCCATAAACTTTATCGAACTTAAACGAACGACGTGCCTCTTTCCCTTGTTTGGAAGGATTCACAACTATCAGTTCTCCGTTCTCACCAATGTACTCAGTAATTGATTGTTTTCCTTTCTGCCCGGGAAGGAATGGCCTTATCCGGCAATACACCCTAATATTTCCTATTTAAATTAAAACATGAGGAATTTTGTAGCAAATTTGAGTTTTTTTCAATCCGTCAAGGAATTATGTAAAACATAATGTTGAACCTTTTAGCTCTTGTAGCTCGTTGTGCAACTTTTGATTTTCGGAGAGGAGTGAGTAGTAGTTTTTTACAGCATTGTCCATAGTCTTGATTCTCGACCCTGATACAATCAAAAGCGTGACAAAATTTCCGGTTACCATATATTTTCATAGGAAAAAAAAAAAAAAAAAAAAAAAACATAAAGTGTAAGTCTACTAGTAGACTACCATAAGGCGGTCTCACATACAACTTTCATGCAAATTCATACTTCTCAAGTAAACATTCATTTATTTGATGTCACATTTCTTAATTTTCAAACTGTACACAGTATTTCAAAACTGCAGATTTTCAAAACTGTACTTTAGATGGTCTTGTAGAAGATCTCAATGTCGAGAAAATCAAACAGTGTCTGGAAAGTATATTTACCTAAAACACCGAATTCATCTGAGTAGCTTTTCCGTGTTTTGGCAATCTCTTGCTGGATCGACTGAGAGGCAAATCTTAGTTCCTGAATAAAAAATAAATAAATAAATAAATAACATCAACATGTAAAAATATGGGGAAACATTATTTAATCTCAGAAGTGCACGACGGAAAGATGATAGCATAAGCGTACGCGTAGTGCGCCAAGCTGGAAGTCAGTGAAGATATGATAAATATGTTGCTTCTTTTTCCAATTTTCAGCTTTTGAATCCGATACTTTCTCGAGCTCCTTCATTCTATCTCTAAACTCTTTCTCTGAGTTTAAAGCCTCGTTCAAACTGTTCTCAAGCTCCTTCACTCTACTTGTCAAATTTTTCTCTGAGTTCAAAGTCTCATTCAATCTTTCCTCAAGATCCTTTAGTCTATCTCTCGACTCATTTTCTGACCTTGAAGTCTCCTTCAACCGGTCCTCGAGCTCTTTCATTCTACTTCTGGCCTCTTTATCTGAACTGTAAGTCTCATTTAACCTTCCCTCGAGCTCCTTCACTCTATTTCTTGATAATGTTTCCGAATTTAAAGTTTCTTTCAATCTTTCCTCAAGCTCCTTCACTCTATTTTTCGACTCTGTAAGCAAGAGTAAATCCTTTTCTTTAATCTCTCGTTGCATGGGCTCATCACATGGGCTCTTATTAGCTGTTTTGAGGTCTTGCCTCAATTTCGATAGCTCTTGGTTGAGGTAATCTTTCTCTTTCATAAGTCTCGAAATCTCATGCTCCTCGGCTTTCTTTTTCTCTTCTATTTTACTCTTCTCACTCTGCAGTAACATTATACCATTATTGCATTAATTTTTCTACCGATAATAATAATCTGCCGACATTTGTGAAAGAATCAAGCTAATGCATTAAATTGTACCTTTATCTGCTGGAGCTGGTTCATAACAATCTGCAAAACGACAAAAGGAATATGAAACTTAGTAAAATGCGCATTTTTGTCATAAGGCTGAATAAAGAGTATTGTGAAACACACCTGCGTCTCGTCACTAGTCCCTGTTGCTAGGGCTTCAAGAACTTTAATTCGGGATTGGTACTTTTCTTCACGTGCTTTAAAAAGATTACTTTGCTGCAGGTAAAAATTGCAATACTATAGATCACGATGGTTGTGTCTAATACATCTTCATAGTCGACAAATCCCCTTTATAATAATATTACCGTTCGCAAATGTTCTGCCTGAGTACATATTCGCCGCTCAATCTCCTGCACGACTTTTCTCAATAGGCAAGCAACACGCTGAACGTATCAACCAAAGGAAACATTCTCAGATATCATCAATTTATTATGGGAAACTGTGGTTATAATTATAAATAAGATGTCTCGAATAATTAGATTTTCGAGCTGTACATGAGGTATTTCTCCATTCTTCAGCTCAATGCTTTCGTCTAAAATACCGTTGACGACACTCAAGAGAGATTGTGTTGGAGCATTCTGCATTATGTAAAACCTTTGAATTTATTTCATAATCAAACAAACAAAAATTAAAAATTAAAAAAAAAAAATGTTGTGATGAGCAAGAGCATGAAGACTTTACATCTAAGCTGTTCGATTTCATCATTTCCGAAATCTTTGCAGCAGGAATATCCGTATAAGATCCCTGTTTAAGCTGAAAAACTTCGTGGAATTTTTGACCCACTTGATTCATAAGCGTACCCGATGCATCTAAACACAAAGCACAACTCAAATTAATTAATTTACACCTTTTCATTTATTGACAAAACAGAATGATTGTAAGACTTGCATTCATAAATCTAGCTCTCATACCAATTTAAAGGAAAAAAAAAAAGCATTCATATAACACAATTCCAATCACGGGCATTAAACAAGTGGGTTGACTGGTTATAGGACACTACTATCGATTTATTTAATTTTTTTTTTTTTTTTTTGCTTTAGATGTGGAAAACAAAAAAAAATGAACAGGTACGAGCATGAAAATGAAGACCTGTCCTTAATGGACTACGTAGAGCATGCTGAGATTTCGAGCCCAATGATGACTTGCGCCTGTCCCTCTCCTCACCAAAAGGAGGAGACGAGAGCATCCCATTCCCAATACGCTCTCCCGAGTGCCTCCATTTTGAACTGCTATCGAGATGCGCTTTTAGAGTTAAAAGGCACTCCAAAACAACTTTCATCGACCCCTACACAAATAAACAAGAAGAGCTCAGTTCACACCGAAATTTAACTAGAAAATCCATCCATTTGTACATAATTTTACTACTTCACCTTTTCCAGGTCAGCTGCCTGAAACCTCGGGAATCCCTTTTCGTCCATTGCCGACAAAAACCTCTGCACATTTTCCGAGTGGGGCTGTGAAGGACGAGCAGAGCCCCCATTCTATGAACAATGCAATGAAAATCATTTTAATTCCCAAAAAAAAAGTTTAAAAAAAAAAAGAAGAAGAAGAAGAATGATAATGTAAGTCAATCCAAAGGTACCTCAGCCACAGAACCTGGTTTTAATTTGTTTAATATTCGGCACAAGATAGAACCATCGATTAAGAATGCTCGTAGTTCTTCATCCGAAGCGTTTATCGGCAGATTTATATCCGGGAGAATACAATTAATCCATTCTACTAAAGCTGTCCTCTGCTTGGCTGAAAACAAAGTTAGTTTAAATAGCTCAAAATTTGATTGATTATTAAGTTCCAGCACAACAACTAATACAAGGAAAAAAACAAACTATTTTGCCTAATTACATATATAGCTCTTACCATTGTTGGTCGAAGCAGATTCGAAAACATCACTCTCTCTTGAAACTGACTGTCGGTCCATAGTCGAAATCGGGATAATATATACGAACTCGGACGCTGTCGATTACAGGCTTAGATTGATCGATTATTAGCTGCAGCAAATGGATGATCCATATACAAAAAAATTTGACATTCCTTTTGATATGAAATTTACAGCAAA